ACCAGAGCCACAGAAGCATCAAACAGACTGTCCAACCTATGAGGGAAGGCAGGGGTGAGGGGGTAAGAGATCAACCAAAGGACTTGTATGCATGCATAGGAGCATAACCAATGGACACAGACAGGGGGAGGGAGAGTGAGGGCATGTGCTGGGGGGTGGGGGTGGCCAGGGAGAGGTCAATAGGGGAAAAAGGAGACTTATGTAATACTTTAAACCATAAAGAATTTAAATTAAAAAAAAGAAATTAGAAAGAAAGAAAGAAAGAAGGAAAAAGAGGGAGAAAGAAGGAACACACGAGAAAGAAAGAGAGAAAGAAAGGATTTTGTCATGGAAATGAGTGAGGAAGAGAAGCCACTTGTTCATGAGACTTTGCAGGGACACATTTCCAGCAATATCATCACCTTCCAGCTACCCAGGCCACAGGCCCAGGGGCCCTGCACGGGCCATTCCCCCACCTGCTTGCCACCCAGCAATACTTGAGCAATACTCAATTTCACAGGGTGGTGGAATTGAGCAGCACAAGGTGCTGGATTTTGCTTCCAGTCTCTTCAGGCACTTAGGCTGAGAAACCTCCCTGTAGGCTCCTTCCAGAACAGTCACAGCTTAGCATATGGCAAAGGCAATCCCACCTCTTATGAAAGTGGCCTGTGTGAATAGCAGGCACTTTGGTGGGAAAGAGGGAAGAATAGGACAGAGTATTACTAAGAAGTCTAATACGGGACTGTGTTTTGTTTTTACAGACTAATCAGCAAGACTGTTGAAAGCTTAGCTGTCCAAGATGCCCGTCCCTCCCCCTCCAGCACCCCCGCCGCCGCCCACGTTTGCTGTGGTGAGTGGTTCCTCGCCCTCCATTATTCATGCATGAAGCCACCGACTGAAGCTGACTCTGGCACCCATGTGTTTGTTTTCAATGTTTTTGCATTCTGGCTTAAATATGATATGGGGAGCTTTCCAGGTGCTGGTGTGAGCCAGAACCAGGGTGGGTTGTCTGATGTCTCCTGCCGTGCACAGTGCACGTGTGGGCCATGGGGCAGTTGGGTGTCCTCTGCCATGTCCAGTGAGGGAAGTGTCCTGTTCATTCGTTCCCATGCACTGACCCAAGACAGGTAGGTTTGCAAGGGCAGTTCTGCCCTGTTTCCATTCAAATGGGCCCAACTTCTGGGCAGGACAGTCCAGAAGCCCAGGTCTCTATCTGAAAACGCATCCATTCCAGTGTCTTCCAGACCCACTCTTTTCTTTTTCTCTGCCATTTGCCCACTCTGTGTTTTTGACAACTATCCCCCACTCCCATTACCCCAAGATCTCCTCATACACCCACACCCCTCTTTAAATCTATTCTTGCATTTAGACATCTAAATGCAAAGGAATTTCTTCCCTGGGCTCATCCTGATCCTTGATAGACCCATCCTCTTCCAGGAAGCCCACAGCCTTTCCCGGGGTGATACAGAGGCTCCCAGCCATGCCATCACAAAGGTCTCCGCCAGTTTAGGAAGCCGGCATTGCTTAAATGCTCCCAAGGACGGGCCCTTCATTTTTCATGTGGGGAAAACTGAGGCTCAAAGATGAAAAGTCCTTTGCCCAGGCTTCTATGGGCACATTTCTATAGAACAGTGGTTCTCAACCTTCCTAATGCCACGACCCTTTAATACAGTTCCTCATGTTGTGGTAACCCCCAATTTCATTGTTACAAATTGAACATAATTAAAGCATAGTGATTAATCACAAAAACAATATGTAATTATATATGTGTTTTCCGATGGTTTTAGGCGACCCATGTGAAAGGGTTGTTCGACACCCAAAGGGGTCTCGACCCACAGGTTGAGAACCGCTGCTATAGACCATCTAAGGTTGGAACCTGGTTGGAAGAACAGACCATTAATTAGCTCATTGCTATTTGAGCTGTGGTCCTCCAACTGCTAGTTAGAGCCCCCAAGGAGATAAGCACAGAAATTGAGAGTAAGCACATAGAAACACAGCAACTTGAAAGTGTTTTGCCTGTTGTTTTAAATATGTTTGTACTGATTTGAGAGAGAAAGGGAGAAGGAGAGAGAGATAGAAACATCGCTGAAAGAGAAACATCAGTGGGCTCCCTCCTGGGGAGTGAACCCTGACTGGGAACTGAACTGGCGAACTCTTGGTGTGATTGAGCTCAACTCTTGGATTGATGCTCAACTCCTGAGCCACACCGGCTGAACTGCCTGTTGTTTTTAAGATTGCATTTTTGTGCCTTTTTTTTTTTACTAAGTTACTGTTATTTTACAAAAATATCAGTCCATGATAGATTGTAAGTTTTTTCTTAAAAATTGGTCTTTTACTTAGATAAGTTTGAAAAGCTCTGATCTAATATCACAGGATTAGTTTATATTTCCCCCCAAAATGTAGGTTTTATACCACTGCTGGGTAGTATATACTTTAATTTTTGTTTTATTTCAATGTTCATGTGTTTATCTTAATACGTGCTCTAAAAAATTATAACTAGAACACCCAGAGTTTAATAGGGAGTTACTTTAAAATAAAATGCTCACTGAAAAGTAGTAAATTACATAGTGAATAGACTTAATAGAAATATAAAATAAATGACAGGTAGCATGAGAAGATGACCAAAATCATGAAGGCTGTACCAAAATGACTGAAATTTGGGAAACTTTATTAATTTTTTCAATTGATATATATTTGACACATAATGTTGTATAAGTTTATGCCATACATGTTGGTTTGACACATTTATATATTATAATTAGCTCTGTCGCTTTAGCTAACACCTCCATCACATCACATAATTATCTTTTCTTCTTTGTGGTGAGCACATTTAAAATCTTGCCTGTTAGCCTGATTATAATGCAGCATTGTTGACTGTAATTACTGTCCTGGGCATTAGATCTCCAGAACTTCATCTTCCAGATGCAAGTCTGTGCCCTTTAACAGCAGCTCCCCAATTCGGGGAAGGGACATTTTAGACCCACATTTATCCTTCCAGCAGATTCTAGGGAAGGCTCTGCAGCCAGACTGCCAGGGTTTGATCCTGGCTCCTGCTCTTACCGGCTGGGTGACCGCAGCGAATGATCTAACCTGCCTGCGCCAAGTTTCCTTGTCTCTAAAGTAGACCTACTGACTCCCTTTCTGAGGACTAAATGAATTAATACACACGAAGTGCTGAAACAGTGCCTGACCCATAGTCAAAGTGATGTTATTGTCATGAACAATGTCAAGATCCTTGCAGCTTAACACACAGAGATTCTATGTAGCCAACTTGAGGGTTTTTCTTAGCTCCCCCTCGGCCTCTGACTGCCTCTGTAATAAATAACTAGGTACCAATGGTTTAGCATCAAGCTAAACCTCCCAGGTTTACCTGCCATGGCCCTCACTGGCACCTCCAAGATCAGATCCTTCCTGAAGGGCTGGGCCAGCCGAGAGGGACTCCCAGGTCTACCAGATGGCCTCTCCCTAGGACCAGGCCAGACCAAACCAGTTTCCAAGTGTGATAGACACAGGCACATGCCAACTTCCAAGTTCGTATGCTGGGCTCTTAGAGTCCCCACTCCCTACAATAATCCTGGATAAACAAGAGCCCAACTTCATAGTAAGGATCTCTCCCAGGAATTCTGAAAGAATAGGAAATACTCAAATATTTTATAGCAGCACTTTTGTCGACTCTGCAATCTCTGTGAGCTAAGCTTTCAAAGAAACACCTTAGGCCAAAGGGACATAGGGAGTTTTGAGTTAATGGAAATGTTACACACTTTGCTTGTGGTGGTGGCTACAAGCAAGGTGATTGTATATGTTTGTCAAAACTCACAGGACTCTACATTTAAAGGGTGCTGTTACTATATGCAAATTATACCTCAAGTCTCTTAAAAAGAAGGGGGGAAAAAACTTTGGCAATGTAAACAGAAGGAATTGTTTTTCTCAAACTTTGGTGGCTTAAAAAATAATACAAGTGACCTGTTCTGCTAGGAGCAGTTTTCTCCTTGTACCAGTTAGTTCCAAAAGATACGAAAGAGAAGCTCTTCTTCAGACACATTCTAGAGAATGAAGCCTTGTAGCATCCTGTAGAATCTTCCAGATTCAAGTTCCCTTCTCATTTCTAGCCATCAACCCGGGCATTGCCGGTCACGGCCAGACAGTGGTCTGAATTTTCAGAGACTTCTATCGGGAACTGACTCTACCTGCATTAAAAATAAATGTCATTGATTTCTGCATCTGCTCCCAAATGTCTGGGTCATAAAAAGAATGGCACCGGGTCTAAAACTTGTGGAGAATTTACAACCTATTGCCAGCAGCCTCAATCCCAAGCTCCCAACACGCTAGCTGTCTCCACTGAGGGTTGTAGCACTTGATTTTAATTCAAGAGATGAATACGAGTTTGCATGGTTTCCTTTCAGGCCAATACAGAAAAGCCTGCCTTGAATAGGTCAGAGCTGGCTGGGAGGAATGCTCTGCTCTCCGACATCAGCAAAGGGAAGAAACTTAAGAAGACGGTCACCAATGACAGAAGCGCACCGATACTGGACAGTAAGTGAAGGAAGTTCCTTTCCATAGAGAGAAGTGGTTTATGGCGTAACACTCCACCCTACCCTTCCCACCAAAAAAATTTTTTTTGGTTAACAACAGCTGCAAAGCGAGCAGAATAAGGGACTGTGTCACTCATTGTAGGCCACGGCTTCGGCTTGGGTTCGCTCTACTGCTGCAGGAAGCCAGTATAATAATTCTTTGTTTAAGACACACACAGCAGCGATTCTCTGAATTATTCAAACACTTTCTGGAAATTAACTCTTTGCTCCACAGATCAAAAGGCAGGATGAAACAGGGAAAGAACCCTATCCTTGGAATCAAAGGATACGGGTTCAAGTCCTGGCACATCCATCACTTACCAGCTCCAAGCCTACTACCTTCGCAAGTTCATTGTGAACATAAATGAGACAATGCTGTAAAAGTGTTTTGTTGCCTGCAATGTGAAACTCAAGGGTAAGATATGATGTTAGGAGCTTGGAGAAAGAGGAAATGAGATCACAACTTTGCTTATATACCCATTGTAAGCCTGAGATATTTTCTGGAACAAGGCAGGGTGTGTATACACAAACAAGTACCCACCACACAGGGCTGCTTATTAACATTTACAACAAAATGCAAAATTATACATGACTAGAACCTAGGATAGTTACTAATCAGGCCTTGTGACTATCTCTTCACATTCCTACATGTTTCCACTGCCAGCCAGATGTCTCCTGAATTCATACTAGACCACAGAGCCCATTTGGACTCAATAGAAAATAGACAAGTAAATAATGATGCAGGATTTTAGCCAAGTGAAGGATAAGAAGGGCTTAGGAAGAATTTCTAAGAAAGGTGCCTAATAAGAGAAGGAGAAGAATTAGATGAGACCACTAGTGTAGGAGGTAAATGGCAAAGAGGAAAGCCAAGACAAAGGCTTTTGAATGTTGTTCTATTACCCAGCAAGATGGTGCAAATAAGAATGCACCATAACCCCAAAAAGGAACTGTGAGGTCTTTGACTCTTGATACAGTTTTACCTCCAGATCAAAACTGATGTGGTTAATGTATAATCAATCCCTTAGTTCTCCTGATCCATGTTACAAGATTCCCCCAAGGGGAATCCCAGCACAGTCACTTATATAAGGGGAGCCTTGGTCCAACAACCATCAAGTCATGATGCCTGGTATGGGGCCAAACAGAGCCCAATGGTTCTCTCCACCATGAGTGGGAGGCTAGGCTCCAGAGAGGTGGATGTGAGTTCCCCAGATGTTGAAGGAGACTGGACATTCTAGGACAGGGGTGGGCAAACTTTTTGACTCGAGGGCCACAATGGGTTCTTAAACTGGACTGGAGGGCCGGAACAAAAGCATGGATGGAGTGTTTGTGTGAACTAATATAAATTCAAAGTAAACATCATTACATAAAAGGGTACGGTCTTTTTTTTTTAGTTTTATTCATTTCAAACGGGCCAGATCCGGCCCGCAGGCCGTAGTTTGCCCACGGCTGTTCTAGGACCTAGTCCTTAATCCACTAGTGAAAACTCATTATATTCTATAAACTCCACTTATCCTCCCATTAAATGGAAATAAATGTTAGTTCTTCCTCCCAGCTGCTCACTTTGCTTGTTGGACACAAAATACAGCCCAATGCATGCCCTTGTTATCCATGCAATTGCTTGGCCACCAAGACTATTGTCACAAGCTCTTTGCAAGTGACAAAGTCCATCTATGGTTTTGAATTTTTTTGCAGGTGAAACCTCCCTGGGCTCTATATCAAAATGTTATCATAGTTATGCATATTATAACTCTTAAAGTCCTGCAGTTTAATTACTAACAAAGTGACCTGTGCCAGTTAGCTATCTTCAACTGCTTTAGCTTCTCTACGGAAAGATACACTCATGGATGGTATCTGATAGTGTATTGATCTCTTTGAATGTTTAATACCATTTAAAGGTGTCCTATGTAAATGTAATATTCCAAATTATATCATTCATTAATGAATAATATTTGAATGACAAGGGCATTATTAATATTACTAGAGTCCCAGTGCATGAATTAGTGCACAGTCGGGTCCCTCCTGGCTGATAGGGGCCATCTCGTCCAGTCCCAATCGGGGCTGGCTGTGGGGGGGGACCGCAGGAGGTTGGCTGTGGGAGAGTACTGACCACCAGGGGGCAGCTCCTGCATTGAGCATCTGCCCCCTGGTGGTCAGTGAGCATCATAGCTACTGGCTGGTTGTCCGGTCGTAACAGTTGCTTAGGCTTTTATATATATAGATTGACAATATTATTGCTACAGAGCCAACAAAAACATGCTAAAACTATTCCATAAAGAAGAAAACTCAAATGAATAAAACTAGAACTCAGGAAACAGATAATTAACACATTGCGTACCGCATAGAAATCTCTAAGACATACTCCAGGGACCACACGTTTTTGGGCAAACTGCACGTTATTTAAATCATCATAATGCACTTTAGGTGTTGTTTTTCAATAATTATAACATTTTTATTTACAAAAACAATTAAACAATTAAAGTTCCTAGTACTCTTTTAACGTATGGTACTATGTAAAACATTTTCCTCTATGAAGAGGGACCAAACAAAATTTATGTAAGTATCTAGATTCGCTCCTTTTTCCATGGGCGTGAAAAACGAGAACACTCGTGAGCGGTCCTTAACAGATGGCGCATGAAACACGAGAAAACTCCTGAGCGGTATGAAATGTGTTAAGAGATTCAAAGCAGATTTTTTTTAAATCAAGGATGCTATGATGAAGTTATATGCTAAATCATTTAGAAATCTTAAATTTATGTTCTAAGAAAAACATAAATTTACTAAAACTTACTCATGAAACCTCAGTGAGCAAGGAAAAAGTTGAAAGCATTATCAATTATTTTCCCTCTAAAAAACTTTAGAGCCAGATGATTTTTATCAATAAATTATTTCAGATTTTAAGTGATAGCTAATTCAATGCTGTATAAATTATCCACTCCCAAATACAGGAAGAGATGAAAGCCCTCTGATAGGTGTAATGAGACTGGCATGATCCTAATATCACAATTTGACAAAGGTAGCATATAAGCAAAAAGGAAACTATATATTAGTGTTCCAGTGGACCTGTGGCAATGTCTGGAGGCATTTTTAGTTGTCACAACTTGGTGAGGGAGGAGTTCCTACTGACATCTAGTGGGTATAGGTCAGGGATGCTGTAAATGTTCTACAGAGAACAAGACAACCATCCACAAGAAAGAATTACCAGACCAAAATGTCAGTTGTTCCAAGAGTAAGAAACACTATTAGAGATGGACCACTTATGATCATAGATGAGTGGGTACTAATGGAAAAAACACACAACAAAAAATCTAATTCAATATGTGTAGTAAAAGAATAATTCATCAACATCAGGGCTTACCTCATTTTTAATGTTAGAAAATCTATAAATGCATCATATCAATTAAGAAAAACCATATAACTTTGAAACATTAGAGGCATTCTCATTAAAATCAAAATGTTTTCCTTTAGCAACATTAATAATTTACATTTTTATGGAAGTTCAGTCATCAAAGTTATTACTTATATAAAACAGAAATAAGATAAGATACACAACTGTTAGAAAAGAAGGGGGAAAACCTTTATTATTTGCAAACCATTTGTCTACTAGAAAATCCAAGATAATTTTTGGGTACATTTTAATTTGAAAAGAACAAAGTTGTTTATAGATATCAAATGAAATTCATGATGCCAATCATGACCAATCACAAATGTTAGTAGGAAAAACAATTTTTATATAATTTTAACAAACAAAAATGTATTTGAAGTAACCCTAACAAGAAGCCTGTGTGACTCATATCAAGAAAATTACAGTCCTCACCAATTTGGCTCAATGGATAGAGCATCAGCCTGCAGACTGAAGGGTCCCAGGTTCGATTCCGGTCAAGGACACCAAAAAAAAAAAAGAAAAAGAAAATTACAAAACTTTACTGGATAAATCAGTAGACACAGAAAATAAACCATGTTTCTATCCGGTTTCCCGGATTATTTTGTAAATCTCATATAATACTCATCAAAGACTCACCACGGTTTTTTAGAGTAGAACTTTAAACAATGCTTAACCTCATAAAACATACATGCATAAATTATTTTTTTAATTAATTTCAGAGAGGGAGGGAGAGGGAGAGAGACAGAGAAATATCAATGATGAGAGAGAATCCTTAATTGGCTGCCTCCTGCACGCCCCCCATTGGGGATTGAGCCCGCAACCCAGGCATGTGCCCCAACCAGGAATCAAACCATGACCTTCTGGTCCATAGGTTGATGCTCAGCCACTGAGTCACACTGACCAGGTCATAAATAAGAGACAATTTTATTTTGCTTGTTAAGTAATAAGAGGTGATGTTATCAATATGATGGTATCAGTTCAAAGGAGATAGGCAGATGGGTGCTGAAATTAATTTACAAATAGGTGAAAAATGGATCAATATCAGTTGCCTTCCACTGAACACACCAATTTGCATTTCTATGGACTAATATTATTTGTATTATTTTTCTACAGTTTAGAGTTGTAAAATAGCTCAAAGACAATGGGAAATAACACAGAAGGCTAGACTTAATAATCTTTTTCTTCTTCATTTGCCCATTTCAAAAGCTTTCATTATTTTTTGAAAATAAATACAAAATAAAATATTTGCACTGTCTCAAATTGCAAAGAATTTTTAAATGTGAAAGCCTACCGTTGGGCTTAATGATACTAAAAAATTGAAATCAACCTAAAAGACCCTCAAGTAAGTAAATAGTTAAATAAACTACAATACAATCATCATGTTCTAAAACACAGTGCAGTCCTTTAAATTCTTCTTTTTAAAGAGTATTTAATGTTATGGGAAATGCTAACAATAAAGTGTTAAGCAAAAAAAGCAGGCTAAAAACTGTCCAGTGAATGTTGGTCTTAATTTTAAGAAAAAAATAATAAAAATGAAAAGATACTGGCAGGGGGAAGGGGTGGGGGGAAATATGCCAAAACACTAGGTATTTCCAAGTAGTGAAATTATGAAATATTTTTTATTCTTTTTATTTTTACAATTTCCTTTTTTCTCACCTTTTTATTGCATCTCCCCCTCCCTTGAGACTTTATTTATTTGAAGATCCTTTTATTTGCCAAATAGATATTAATTCATATGGCAGCTAGCCAAATGGGAGGCCTGGGGCCAGACACACCTAGCGTCCATTCTTTCACCGGGCCTGTGACTGCCCAGGAGTGGAAGGAACCCCTCCTTTTCTGCTGAGGGTGGGGTAAATCCTTACAATCCTGCTTTTTAATCAGATTCCAGTTGTCTACCACAGGCCCAGGTTTTGTTGTTTCTGTGTGCTTGGTCCAGGACTGGTGAAGGAGACTGGCAGTGCTTCCAGATCTGTGTAGAGATCGTGTTTTCTTCCTCTGCAGAACCTAAAGGAGCCGGAGCTGGTGGCGGCGGTGGCTTTGGCGGAGGCGGCGGATTTGGCGGAGGAGGTGGCAGCGGAGGTGGCGGCGGTGGCAGCGGTGGTGGTGGCGGAAGCTTTGGAGGGGGTGGACCACCCGGTTTGGGGGGACTGTTCCAGGCTGGAATGCCCAAGCTGAGATCCACGGCCAACAGGGACAATGGTAAAGCGTTTCCTTCTCTCTCGGTCACTGAAGACCAGGGTTTGGTGGTTTGGAGGCTTGGCATCCCCGCTTAGGCACCGCGCCCTTTAAAACATTCTAGATTGCTTGAAATGTTAACTTAGAAGAGAGCCTCTGTGGAGCATCTTTTTTAAATTAAATCAGTCCCAACGTGTCCTTGGGGTAACTTGTACTTTTTTCTAAAGGGTGAGCTAGAGTGGGAAGAAAAGAAAGGAACAAATGGAACTTGCCGCCCTGGAAACTGCCCAGGGACCTGGCAAATTCCGCTTTCTTTGTGAGGCAGCCTGACCCAGCTGTCTAGCAGAGTAAATACTTGAGAGCCACATTTCTCACACACTATGGAGTGTGTCATACGGAACATAATTACATATCTCACTAAGTCTGAAAAGGTGTTTTGCTGACAGACATTCGGCGTTTCAGGGCCAGTGATTCTAAGTCTTCCCTGCAGGGAGCCAGGGAAATGAGTCCTTCAGGATTGTGTGTGGACCCGCTGGCAGAGGGGGAGCTGAACCTGGCCGAGCCCAAGTGAAAACCTCACAGAGCACGAGGCGCTCTCCTGACCATGGCAGGAGCTCAAGAAATTATATCATAAAGCTTTCTTTTTTCATGTTTACTGTTAGAAAAATTTTATCTCTAATTTTGTGAACTTGTAAAATGTCCACTGGGGAAAGTATGAAATTCCCACCTTGGTCTGAAGATAAAGTCACTGAATCCTCAGTGACTATTTTAGCACTGGATGGCAAACTCTAGAAAGAGACTCAATAATATGAGAGAGTCTATCTTGCCTGACCTGCATTGAAATTGAAATTTAAAACCGACCAGAAGGATTTTAGGTAGCTGATAAATGCATACATTTAGTACTTTTTTTTTTAAGGTGAAGAGATTAAGGCAAGAGACAACTGGAAGTAAAATAATAAAATGAAGGTGGAATTTAAGTTGGTCCATAAAAGGGTATACCAGAAGTATATGTTTTCATAGTATACTATCCACGTAATGGATCCTATCCATGTAATGTAGTAGCTGCAGCTTTAATCTGAACTTGGAAGATATAACTTATTACAAGTTGGCGACATAAAAATATACCACACAGTCAAGGACACTACATCTTCTTTTAGTACTAAAGTTGAAACAAAATTCTAGAGTTCACATTACTCCGCTGTATAAATCCCTCCCAATGCCTGTCATTGTGCTTGGACAAAATCTGAACTCTTTTTGGCCTACGAGGCTCTCTGACCAGGCTCCTGATGGCACTCCGACTCCATTTCCTAGGGTTCTCTTTCCTCCATGCTCACTGTGTGCCAGGCACACGGGCCTTGGTTTTCAGTTTTTCATTTGAAGTTCATTCCCCTCTCGGGGTCTTTGTACCAGCTAGTCCACTGCCTACTGTGCTAGCTGCATCTTTCCATGGCTGGACTCAGCTCAAATGTCACATCCTGAGAAGAGCTACCCAGCCATCCCAGCATCCCCAGCATCTCATTGGCCTGTTTTTCTTTTTAGTACTTGTAATTTTCTGAGAACATTTTTGTGTTTGCTGGTCTGTTGTCTATCTCCCCCCAAAAAATGTAAAGTATAAAAGAGAGGATCTTTTCTATTTTGCTTACTCCTCTGTCTCTAGCATCTAGAATAATAATGGCTGACATACAGCAGGTGCTCAGCAAATATTTAGTGCATCGCTTGGCTGTACTGGTAGTGTTCAGGCTACCCAATTTTTGATTCTGGGGTGGTGGTTTGAATTTTTCTATAACCTTGGTTCCCCTTTAGTTCTTCTCTTTGTTGAACTAGTTTAATATTGTGTAGTAGGGTTTTCCTGTCCTGCCAATATTTAAGTGGAATTGACCCAGTAGGAAAGAAGTTGTATAGTTGTTTACTTCTTTGCAGATTAAGATCATTCACTGGTATTAACTTTTTCAATTAAACTTCGACAGTTTTTTTTCTTAGTTCCTTCTTATTTCTATCATAACTTTCCCATTCTATTTTTCTACCTTCTCTTGGGAGTTTCTCTTCAAAGAGACTAGGTAACCCTTCTCCTATGAAGATTTATACTGAGATAACTAATTTCTTCACCTTAAATGGCATATTTTTTTAAGCCTAAGAAGTACCAGGGCAAGGAGGCAGGGATGGTGACGGGGAGAAAAGAAAATCATGAGCAGAAGTCCCATGCGCCACACTGTCCTGTTCTTGTCCTCTCGTGCGGAGGAGGGTCTCTCCAGAGCTCTTAGCAGCTTCCTCTTGGTTCCTGCCCACACGTAACGCAGGAGGTCTCCCCAAAGGCCTGTAGGGAGCGGCCGGCTGTAGAACCTCAGGCCGGAAGGTAATGGAGAGCTGGCTCTGTTCCTCTTCCTTCAGGAAAGGCCACACCAAACCTGATTTAAACAGCAGTTACCTGTATCTTGTAGCATCTGGGAAAGGATGTCCAGCTGCTGGGAATCTATTCTGGTTCCTGGTTTCTTTTAAGGCTCCTAATCTTCTAGCTGAATTTGTCCCCCTGTTCTGCAGATTCTGGAGGAAGCCGACCCCCGATTTTGCCGCCAGGAGCAAGAGCCACG